ATAAGATGCAAATCTACTAATTTCTGGCAATCTTGAAATAAATTTCAGTCAAATAGCATATTTACTTTAACGTTTATGGAAAATTTAATGAGATGATTCATTCAAATAAATAAGGAAATATAAAGAAGTATGAATTATAGATATCATAAATATTTAAATTTAATCATTTAATAATTATTATTGATTGAGAATCTAAGATTTCTTCTTAGACTAAGGAACAAAGAATAACTCCCCTTTTTGAAATTATTTATACTATTTCAGGATATTAAATTATTTATGTATCATCAATTATTATATATAATAAAAGATATTTAATCTTAAAATGAAGATTATCATATATTCTTAAATGGTCAAATAGAATAAGAAGGATATACTTATTAAGGCGGATCAATCAAGAAAGTTTTTAATTTTTTTATAAAAATGAGAATCGAGTTTATAAATACATTAAATATGGATAAATAATAAGAATGTAATTTTAAAGGTATTTATGCATCTAGAGAAAAATTATAAGAGAAGCCTAAATATTCTAACTTACTCAAAAATTTAGAATAAAAATAAGTTTTTAGTTGGGAAAAACAATATGGAGAAAACATTTAAAAAATGGAAAATGGGTAGCATTCTGGAACGCTTAAAGTTTGATGTTTCAAGGATATTATGATGAAAATGGATTAAAGGTGAGGTTATGGGTAGAGTGATTCATCAATTAACGGGAATAATAAATATTGAAAATAATATTCAGTAAATCAAAAGTAATAGTATTGGTGAATACTAAAATGGAATAAAAAATTGGAGAAATATACAGAATATTTCGATTATGAATTCAAATCAATGAATAAAACTTATTAATTTGAGGATAAGGAATTTATGACCAAAAGGATAAAAAGTTGGTTAATGGACTGAATTACACCAACATTTTAGAGAGAAAATATTACCTGTATTTAGTGATTTCAAAGTGAAATTTGTTGGAGATTATAAAAATGACCAAAAAATGGAAATTGGTAGAAATTTCATTATTGAAAACAAATGTTTGTATGCATTTTGATTAAAATTTGATTGGAGTTGGGTATTATGAAGAAGATGGATAAAAATGGATAATGGATTGAGTTGCATTAGAATTTCTTAGAGTACAGAATTTGTTATAAAAAAAAAGGTTGTTTTTAAGTTTCATACTATTGTACTTATAATAAGGGCTCGAAATGTGGGAAATGGAATATTCAAAATAAGGGGATACAAAATTTGAAATTTTCGAAGCCGATTCTTATTACGAAGTTGGTTAGAAGTCAGGAAAATGGTCAGAAGCTAATGAGAACTTTACAAAATGTAATATATATTTCATTGTTAAAGTTAATTAAATTAGGAAATTAGGAATGCCAGTATAGAGAATTCTCTTAATAATAATTTACCTTAATGTATTGAATTAGAAATTTATGTAGTGGAGATGGGCATTATGAAAATGGTGTAAAATAAGGAAGGTGGACTGACTCATCAATCTTGTAGGATTATATGTTGATGGTAAGAAACTTGGATAGTAAAATCTGGCATATAAAAATTAAGATTAAGAAAATTTTATTATTTGTCTAGAGTAAAATTATCTTTTAGAGCCTAATGAAAATGGTTGAATAGGTAATGGAATTACGTGACAGTTTCATAAACTCAAAATATTAATCTTCTTAAGTTATTTATTTAGGATAATATCTTAATGGAAGAAATTTGGTGGATGGACACTTAATAAAATTAAGGAGCAATAAAGATTATCAAAGCAAGTAAGTCTATAAAATCAATTTTATTAGATGTAAAGGAAATTATGATGAGTATGGAACGAAAACTGGAAAGCTGACTCATTGTGATAAAAATTGTAGAGAGCAAAGATCTGTATTTATATTTATATGTGAAAGTTAATTCATTTACTAAGGGAATATAATCATGGATTAAAAAGGGAAGTTGAAATAATTTGTTTAGAACTGAGTCTTCAAAGGATTTTTGCATTATATAATATTTCTATTTAATTCATTAGACAAGGAGGGGATTAAGATTATCAGTAAAATGTTAAATTTAGAAAAAGGGTAGGCCTACATGAGAATTTAGAAAGTAATTATGAGAGTCCTAGGATTTAGAGAATGTCAAATTATTTTTGAGAGTACAATTAATTCAAGAAAAACTGGAGGATGGAGTATTAATTATAAAGGATTATAAGATGAAAAATTTAAGAAATGTACCAACATCAATCTATTATGCTTGAGACTATGGCAAATATGATGAGGATGGTGTTAAAATTAGTAGAATTACACAAGTGATTCAGAGAGTATATTTACTTATTAAATCATCTATGTTAGATAAAATAAAAATGGCATCAAAGCAGTTAGATGGGATATAAATTATCAAAAGATGTATATTAATGAAAACAAGATTGTAGTTAAAAATTATGTTTTAGAGGTGGAGGAGTTTATAATGATGAGAATGGATTAAAAATTGGAAAATAGGTTGAATTGAACAAATCTTTTGATTCGTATTCTCATCATTATAGTTTAGGTGGAGTACAGAGATTCTGATTGGACAGTATGATAATGGTTCATAGTTAGGAATTTAAGGAGCAATAATAGATCTT